GAATAAAAGTGTACGAGTCAAAATTAAAAAGCTGCAGAATTGTATTTTCTACGTAATTTTGTTATTTATCAGTATCTATCGCGTCGGTCAACGAAAGTGTTCAAGACTGAATTGAATTGACGAACGTGTGTTTGAATGAATGATGCTCAACTTTTAAAGGGCAAAGACGCAAAAGGCACGATTTTTTTGCAACTTTTATTTTGCACGCCTAGGCTGTTTACTCGTAATCCAGGTTCTGATAATAATCAAGTAAACCATTATGTACTTAATACATTTCTGAAATATTTTTTCTTTAATATGTATAACAAATTCATCCCTGACCAGGTGAACGCTTGCTTAAACAGCTCTGTCTGCAAAAGGAAAAAATAAAACAAACAGTCAATAAAGGAGGAAAAAGAAAAGTTGTACTGTAAATTAAGCTGAAGCAACACCCAAAAATCTAGACACCGTCGAGGTTGCATGCTTAAAATAGATATATATTAAAATGATACCGGAGCAGAAAATTACTGTGCATTCATTTCCTTACCCAAAAAGCCATTCAAGCATAATTTAGATTAAAGCGTTGGTAATACACACATTCATTTAATCACTTTGAAGGAAAGCTTGAATATTAACACGATTAACAAGTTATACTTATATCAAGATAAATGTGTTATTTGGTCTTTGTTTGTGAGATTTTGGTCTATACTGTTTTAAACTACCATGCAACTTTACACCGTTTACTGTACAATAATCATATTGTATTTATTGTTATCATAATGCTTTCAACAAACTAGGTGGATTATCTAAAATATTTTCGATTTCTGACAATTTAAACATACACACATGCAACAAATAAACACGTATTGCATAAAAAGTGTTGATTTTTTTGTTTTGTTTTCTTGTTTGTTTTGTGCTTTTTTTGGTATTTTTTTTTGCTTAAAACACACATATTTTTAAATGGCAACGAATAATGTTACATTATCAATATAAGATGTTTGACTTGATTTTACTTTTATGGTGCGGCTACTCTGCAAAATGGTATGATATCTTTTTGTTGTATTGTGTGTAGTTTGTATATTACATTAAACATATCCTAGTTGCGTATCCAAGCCTAGTTGCCACCGATACTATACCAGCACAATTGTTTTATATTTTATCTAATAGAGCAAGTTGAAATGCATTTTTCCCCATACGAAGTCAGCATATTCGAGAATTTGTCTTATAAACGACGTTTTATAGTTTCACTTACTATATACCCTTTGAGGGGCATAATGTCACTAAACAGCATGACGCCAAATTCATGCAAATATTCATAAAATAATAAATTAATTTTTAAGAAAAAAATATTTCTAAAGATTTACGATGTACAAATTTTAACTATTAAATATCACTATAATTGTTTGCAAAAAGTACATCAACATTTTTTAAAAAAATAGCTGAAACGCGGGCTTCCTTCAAAGAAAATGGAACTTTGCAACAGGATAAAGATAGGTAACAAAGATCAATTAAATGATAGAAAGTTCTCGCGAGGATTCACGCAGTATTCTGTTAATGATACCATCTGGTACAGATGCTTTGTCTACTTTTAGAGATTTGAAAATAGCTTCTGTTTCGGATGAATTTAGAAAATATTTGTGTAATATATTGATTTAGCCTCTTGGGTCTGAAATATTATTTCTTTTCGTTATTGTTTGTATTTTAGCCAGTGAGTGTTTGATAATGTTAATTTTGCCTTTCTATAAAATCGTTTACGTTTATGAATATTTGATCTGATAGTATATGTCATCCAACGAGCTTGTAATGGCCTGACATGTATACATTTTTCGAGAGACGAATAATTTTGTTCGAAACGTTTCCGGCGTATTTGTTCAAAATCAAAGCAAATAAATTTATTTCGAAGCTTATCGTTATCATCCCGATTATATTCCCAGATAGAACTTTGAAAGCTTAGTTGTTTTGGTTTCCGAAATTTAAAAAAAACACAGCATATTGGAATATTGTACCGCTGTTCTTGATCAAGAATATACTCGCCCATCCCAGATTTGATTATTGTTTTTTTTGTTTGTAACAAAGACAAGATCGATTAATGAATGAGAGGATTCTTTGAGATGCATGGGTTCTTCAATAATTTAATCCATCTTATATTGTTGACAGATAGAAATATTTTTTCTGTTTGTGATGTTGTTGAGAGCATCATAATTGAAATCACCTTTAATAATAACATCATTAATATTTGAGTCAACGGCTAATTCAATAGAATCAATATCACGCAACTATTTGTATTTGCGTTTGGAGCACGATAAAAGGACCGAATAAGATATGTTTCTTATTTTCAAGTGTATGTTATGTCCGTATGTTTTCTGCACGACTAAGTTATTATACCCCCACCACAAAATGTGTGTGTGGGGGGGCTATAATGGATCCTTTTTGTCGCGTCGGTCGGTCGGTCCGGCCTTCTGTCCGTCTCCATTATCGTGTCCGCTCTATAAATCCTATACCAATTGAAGGATTTTCTTCAAACTTGGCTCAAATGTTCACCTCAACAAGCGGATGAGCAGAACCCATGTTGCCCATGTGTCAGTTTAAGGTCAAAGTAACAATTGAAGGTCAAATATCAAACAATCAAATATTAGACAGTATATCGTGTCCGCTCTGTAAGTCCTACACTAATTGATAGATTTTCTTCAATCTTAGCTCAAATGTTCACCTCCACAAGGTTATGTGCAGAACCCATGTAACCCTTTTGCCGGCTTGAAGGTCAAATATTGACTTAGAAAATATTCTTAAATTTTAACATGTATTGGAATATTTCTGAAGGTAGTTGCTTGAAACTTAAAATATATATGAAGTGTAACAATTAAGATATGCAAGTTTAGTTTTATAACTCTAAATTGCATTTTGACAAAGTTATGCCCCTTTTTAAATCTTCAAATTTACATACAATTAAATATGAAACAATATGTCGTGTCCGCTCTGTAAATAAAACCTAAACTAATGCAAGAATTTTCTTCAAACTTTACTCAAATGTTCACATCAATAAGGTTATGTGCAGAACTCACGTCAAATTTGTGCCGGCTTAAGGTCAAGGTCACACATGAAGGTAAAAAAAAACGTTCTTAAATTTAATATGTACTTGTATTTCTGAAACTAGCACGGGTACTTGCTTGAAACTTGAAAGATACTTGGCATATGCAAGTCATTTTTTTTTACTCTGTATTTCATTTTGACAAAGTTATGCCCCTTTTTAAGTCTTTAAATTTACATACAATAAATTCAAGACACAATATGTCGTGTCCGCTTTATAAATTTTATACTAATGGAAGGATTTTCTTCAAACTTGACTCAAATGTTCACCCCAACTGGTCAATGTACAGAACCCATCTTACCTTTATGACAACTTAAGGTCAAGGCCACACTTGAAGATCAAAAATTGACTTATAATATGTTCTGAGATTTTAACATGTACTTGAATATTTCTAAAATTAGAACAGATGATCATTTGAAACTTCAAATAAATACAAAGTGTCACAAGTAAGATATGCAGGTCAAGTTTCATAACTAAAAAAATGGGGGATAACTTTGTATTGTATTTTGACAAAGTTAAGTCCATTTTTATGTCTTTGAATTTAATTAATGTAATATTTCTTAAACGAGAACAGATATTTACCTGAAACTTAAAATATATATAAATGGTTACAAGCAAGATCAGATGACAAAAATTCTACAATTCAATTGCATAATGACACAAGTTATGCCTTTTTTAGGCTAAAAAAATGTTCTGGTATAACCAATTATACTTAAATATTTCTGAAACTAGAACAGATATTCACTTGAAACTATATTATATATGAAGGGTCGCAAGTAAGCTCAGTATGCAAAGTTTTCCACTCATAATTACATTTTGACATATGCTTTTTTCTTAACTTCATTACTTTTGTTTGTTTTATTACATTGGGAAATTGAAAGGTTATTTGTAACTGTTTCGAACATGATTTGAAATATTACCTGTATAATTTGTCTTTTAACACCAGAGATAATTTCTTTTTATGTATATGTATTTGTGCCACTAAAGTTTTTCCATTAACCACCTTTCCAAGATGTCTTCTGTCAAGGACATTGGTGGGGGTATGAATCGCATTCAGCGATAGTTCTAGCTTCGGGTATATGGAAGAACAAAAGCAAAAAGTCATCGGTTGACATTGTAACATTAAACCTTGTTTCCAAGAAAGCAAATGTGTCATACTCTGGTAAAGAGAAGATCGAGTTTATGTCTATACATTTCACTCGACCATATTTTCTCTTTAAGTACTTAAAAGATGGTTATTTTCAATTTTAAAAGAGCCTGTATACCAAGTATCATTACAGTGTATTTACAGATATCAAGTTTAAGCATAATATAGTTTTAAGTGATTTTGACTTTTACCTGTATACCCACCCACCATTTACACCTGGATGGCATATCACTGTAAGTAAGTTCATTGCGGTGAGACTGATAAGTTGGATGACATGCAATGGGCAATAATATAAAATTACCTTTCTTTTTTATTTCTGAATGTAACGGTCTGAATGTTTCTTTATTAGTGAAAAAAGGTACATATCTATAGATGCCCAATGATTCAGAATAACATTCGATAATTTGAAAATTTGAGAAGAGAAAAATATGATGAATATTTCAATGAAAACAAAAATAAAACGAGGTAGTTTATATTTCATTTAACTTTCTATAAATGATATTTCAAAGGCTCATCATGAATAATGCACATAATCGATAAAATGTAACCATAACATCAATAAAGTATGTTTAAACCAACATGTCATTCAAGAGAATATAAAGGGGTTGGGTAAAATTTCATAATTATTACTATTGATAATTATTTGTCCCGCCTGTCTTATGCACATTTCGCTGGTTCTCTTTCATTTACAGAAAGCAATAACAGCAACAACAATTATGATAAAACTAACACCAAAATAGAGCTCCAATAAAACTGAGCAATCATATCTAAAAACTTAACAACAACATTCAGAGGAATAAATCAGACCTGCTTATATTTCGGGATTTTTACATGGACCTACAGTGGAGACCAACCTTCAATATGATATGGAGCATGGTCTATACGGATATGCAAGCTGCTATGGCTCTTTACTCATTTAAAAACAACATAACACAAACACGGAAGAATGCCGTATAATACTGATTTATAAATGTGTAATGTCAACAAAGTTTAAAGAGGAAGCTAAGGATAAGATATTATTAAAACAAAAAACAAGCTTTTTATCAGTGATCCTAAAGGACAAAATCACTTGTGTTTAAAATCTAGACTAGATGAAAGGAATAAAACAAATGGTTTGAGTATGAGTTAACATTTATAACGTCACTAAACAAACTTGAAACCGGGGTTAAACTACTAAACTAATCATGATATCAGTAATGTATCATATTTAGATAACTAAAGTGCTGTCGAATATCTGGAGACATCATCATCGTTCGAATTTTGCGTGTTAGATAGTAGAATACACATGCATCATATCGGCGCTTGATCAGAGTGCGCTAAATGATTCAACACAAAGCTCTAGGCTAAAACGTTGATTTTTACTTCTTATCTCGGACGCCTTGAATATTAGATTTTAGGAACAGGTTTAATGATTAAATATTAAAAAGTGTATAAACAGTGCGATAAAATTAGTTCATCAGCTCATATTGAAAAAGAGTGTTCGTAAAATCTCATTGACATTGGAGCTATTTTGTGCCATTTTTTATGCAATTCATATGGAATTTAGTCTGTAAATTAATCATCTAAGTTGTTTTTACATGAAAAGGAACATATAATTGCACATAACGATAACATATAAAGTAACATGTCATCAAGGTCCGATCGTTTAAAATACGTTTACATATGTTCGAAAGTTTTCACTTTTGCAATGGCAGTAACTATTGCATTTCTTACGTATATTAGACTTGATTCAACATTGCCTTGGAACATGGACATGATTTTAACCGAGAAAACAAATGCTTTGATACAAAAGCTGTGCAATGAAACAAGATTCCCTGTAAATGTAAACACGGAGGAAGATTGGGGTCGAGTTGACTTGAACGAATCAATTCATGTTATTTCAGCATACTACGTTCAGGAACGGGAAAGAGTGTTTATCATTGGAACAAAGCCTTTCTTTGAGGTTTCGGTTATATGTCAACTTTGGTATACCAGTTTCAAAGATAGCGGATGGAATGTCCAACAGACTATTGCAAATGTGGTTGCTCCGATCGGAGCAACAGGGTACAAGTAAGTTGTTTTATCCCAATCCGCAATTGTCACTATTTCACTTTGTTTTACTCACAAATGCAGATATATTATGTTTTGCGGAAACTGCAAAAAGGTGTCATGTAATTCATTGTAGCGTTGTAATTTTGTTCGGCTCCATCGGGAACATTGATGCCGATACTTTTAGAATGTTTTTCGAGGGTGTTTACAGCTTAAGTCAATGCTTATGGGCGTGAGAGATTGTGCACGTTCCATTTCGTCTGATAAACAAACCAAACCAATATTATGTTTAACATTTGTTTTGTATTTGTATTTGTTTGCATTGCTCTCAGCAACCCATGTTTCAAAAATATACATAATGTACGCGTATTAATTTGACGTTAGAACGCTTAAAACGTAAAATTTGAAATTCTGTAAAATATTAACAAGGGAATTTAAAGTGGAAAATATGCAAAACATAAAAAATAAAGAAACTTTACATATATACAATAAAACTTAAAGTAAATATCGACTTTTTAGCTATGATACTTAGTCCGATTTGTGTTAAAAAATAAAAGCTTTTTCGTTATTGTGCCATTTTGTATAATAAAATGATAAAGTGTGTCATATCGCATAACAAAAAAAAAAAGAAAAAAAAGAAAAAAAAAAAAACACACAAAAAAAAAAACACCAAAAACAACAAAAAAAAACAACACTAGAATGAGTGAATTTTTTTAACTAATTCATTGGTCCAAACTTACATAACATTTTAAATAATCCATGCACAAAAGTATTTTCAAATGCGAACACAATGTCTAGGCCTGATATCAAATATGGTGTTGTTTTGTAAAACTTTGTCATCGACAGCAATTTCTTATTTTATGATAAATTTATTCTAACATACATTATACTTAAGACTCCTTTTTGTGCTATGAACAGAGCGATCATAACTACGCCAGTTTAGGAGATAGTTATCTTATAAACGGTAAATTTGATTAATTGTATTCCATTAAAATCTAAAAATTTTCCACTGCTTCGGGATTTACATAGGTGATTAAAGTTGACACAGTTTTTGCGTTGTGAGGCACTGTTATTTTATCAACAGGTGAAAATAGTCATTACACCTATCTATGTTGAAAATTGTAATACGCATCTGCATGTTAATCGCGCCACTTCAATAACAGTGACGTAATGTTTAATTTGTGACAACGTTTAATTTGTGAAACCAAAAAAAAACCTGAACTTAAAATATAATTAAAAACGATTTCTGACTTATTATAATGGTGTTTGACATAAAATTGTCAAAACATGTTGATGACAAAACAATGAGACTACCTTAATTATAAAAAAGACTGTCTCACTTCTTTTAAAATTCGTACAATACCAAAAACGTTTGAACAATACGCATTAAAAAATTTCTGAGTCGCATAAACCATTGAATATTTTTGTTTAGTAAAATATAAAATTGAATATAATTATGACAAAATGTAAAGAATCTAGACTTTAACTGTCAATGAACTGTAATGATGTTACGGTAGATGAATATGTTTCAAACTCTGTAAAATATTAATTTCTTTTCTCATACAAAGGATATTTAATTATGATTTTATTATTTGCCACGTACTGATTAGTAACTTTAAGACAAAGATATAAAATGCCATAGTTTCACTGAAATATTTTTGTTTTAATTATTTGCCAATAAAGAATAAAATTATTGTTTTGAAATAGAAAAATGTTCATGACAGATACAAGATAAATTAGCAAAATGTAAATAATTAAATAAATAAATGAATAAATCATGTAAATAAAAAAATAAAAAAAAAATAAATTAATTAATAAATAAATAGATAAATAAATAAAAAAAAAATAAAAAAAAATAAATTAATTAATTAATAAAAAATATGTTAATAAATAAATGCAATTTATAATTAAGATAATAGCGAAATGATACAAAAACTGAACAAAATAATTAAAGAAATTAATAAAGAAATAAAGGAAAAAATGAAATACAAAAAGAGAAAGGAAGAAAGACAACCAACCATAAATTAGTAAAACATAAATGAATTAATAAATATTTAAATAAATAATTAAATGAAAAATGAAAAGAAGAAGAAATGAGTCAATAAATTATGAAATTAATAAATGAATGTAAGGAAATAAATAAATAAAAAAATAAATCGTTATAGATACAAATACAACAGATGTTTTGATAGATAAAAATTAAAAGTTACATCTAGATTATGATTGTGCTAAAAGTTATATTCATACTTATAACATAAACTTATATGGCATTATGTTATAAGTAATTGTTATGAGGATGACGAAATGTTATCATAAAATATGACTTTGAACTAAATCACAATATTGATTTCCCTTCCTCAATAAAAATTATTATTATGTTACTTCGTGATTATATCTTGTGGTTTAATAACTGTTATATATACATGTATTTAATTTATTTTAATTTATTATTTATGTATATGAGAAAGTTGTAAAATGTGAAACAGAGTGTTAACATGTTAACTGCATGTTGTTTCATTTTAGACCAGTTGTTTATTTAGAGCACGGCTGCGATAAAATGTATCAAGTTATTGCTTTCATTTCGTTGTAGAGTATAATTAAGCTTTTATCATTGAAACTTTCTAACATCTAATTTTGCAAACATTTATCAATCTCCGACGCTCATAACATACAGCAAACATATCAAGATAAACACTTTGATAAATAGGGGGTTGTGCGCCTTCGAAACATCAGAGATTGATACACAAGTAAAAGTAATTTTAAGTTTATAAAAATTCCAGAACATTTTCGCTTATTAATTTCATTTGATTGTTTATAAATGAACTATTGACTTTAAATGTATAGACATTTGATGTACTATATTTTCAGTTTCACATCTACTATATATGAATGTAAAGTAGAAACGACAGAAAAACGACCCGAGTACGTATCCATTGTGACGTGTTCCTGTGATAACCCAAGAAATGTTCTAAAAGTACGGGATGCGTCTAAACCAGACGGGTATCAGCGTCGTTTTACTGTGTGCTTATCACCAGTGTTTCAATATGATAACATTTTCCAGATGGTTGAGTGGATTGAACTAAATAGAATTCTTGGTGCTGAAAAGTTTGTATTTTATAACTACTCAACGGGAGAAAACGTTAATAAAGCAATAAAGTATTATATGAAATTAGGTTTGATTGATGTTATTCAATGGAAGATACCATTTAGTGATATTGGACGTAATATTGAATACTTTGCTCAAAAGGCGGCTATTAATGACTGTATATACAGAAATAAAAATGTTTCTGAATTCATCGTCAATATTGATAAAGATGAGTACATCATTCCTCACTCATATGACATTTTAACTTGGTCACAGCTCATCGACACATTTGACAAAAACTATGCAGGTTACCTTGTGAGACACTCTTTCTTTCGTTTAGACTGGAACTTGAAGAATCAAAACTTTTCTGAGAAACATTTTGCAGAAAAATACCGTTTAGTGACACTAACCCATTTCGAACACGAGAAAAAAATATGGCCGCCTAACCATCGCTCAAAATATTTTGCCCGAGCAGAAGTTGTTGAATTCGGAAATGTGCATGAGATTCCACGCGGAAGAATATTTAACGTGCCTCCTGAACTAGCACTACTTCATCATTATCGAAATATCGGAAAACCTAAAGACAAAGACAAAGTTCTTGACTTTACAGTACTTATTAAATACGGAGACAGTTTGTCAAAAAAAGTACAAAAGACATGGAAAGCTGTTTCTATCGCATAACTAGTCTGTTTTTGTTATTATTTAAGCATACAAAGATTACAAAATATATTAGGAAAATACGGAAGTTGGTTTCAGTCATATATCAAACTTTTTTGTAATCATTTGAAAATCAAAAATGTATGTTTCATCAACCGGAACCAAAATATTTTGCAATAAACGAATATATCTATTTGGGTAACTGAGTTATGTTGACTCTCTACATTACCACATTATAGGTCTAGGTATAAATATGTGATACCGTGACATTTTGCTCTTTTTTTACTGTCAAGTTAAGTTAATTTAGGAATATAGTTTAAAGGTTTGTTGTTAAAATGGCAATTAACTAATAATTGATAATGAAATATATATATGATACTAAATATAAAAAAATACCTAGTATAAAACGACTGCCTCTCTAATTTTTTAATGAATTGAGAGTTACCTATACAATCGTGATGATATTTATACGAATGTTCGTTAGTCATTTGGTTTATTGATATTTTTGTGTCGCCTTTAAAAAGGCAACATAATTATAGGGGTTACTGTTGTCGGCGGTGGCGGCGTCGTTGTCGGCGTCCCCTTAAGCTTGTCCGGAGCATAAGTTAGTCATAATAATTCGTATTGACTTCAAACATGATATCCATGCTAATTTTAATGGCCCGAAGTGCAGTGCACAAGAACCGGTACTATGCACTTCTTAATTTATGAGTTATTGCCTTTTGTTATGGACATGAAACTTCATAGGATGATAGATCTTATTTCTTATTTTCTGAGTTATTGTCCTTTGTTAATTTTCATACTTTATTTCATAGGATGATAGATCTTATTGATAATAAGTGCAGTGCACAGAAACTTCTGCTTTGCACTTCTTATGTTTTGAGTTAATGCCCTTTGTTAATTTTCATATTTCATTTTTGTCATGGCCATTTGTCCCAAACTATATTGTTTACAAGGCGACACATCCGACTCGCGGAGTTCTAGTTATTTTTAATACAATACAAAATTAAAAACAATAATGGCAAACTGTCAAGTAACATTTTGTTTAACCTGTACACTCACCATTGGGGGTTACAGGTGAAATATATTAACCTGTAAATGTTACATTAAACCAGTCCAAAGATTTCAGCTGTAAGCCAACCTTAGAAGTGAATAAACATAACATATGGAAAATCTTTAGGTTTTCATTTGTTATTTTGTAAATTTCATAGGTTTTATATCATAGCCAAATAATAAGATTATAGCAAGATTTTGAATTGTTTTCATGCATGTGAATCGAAATGTGTATTTTAATATTCATATGCCAACGCATTCTAAAACAAAGTCTTTACTCTACTTTGTCGTCAAATTTGTGATTTCGGAAAGTTTTTGTTACTATCGCGTGAACAGTCCTAGATAGCATTTATTTTAAGTGACATTAGGCCTTTCCTGTGTAAATGGCTAGTGAACAGGTCAACGTCAATATAATTTTAAACGTTGTCATACCTGTGTTCTGTTTAATATATGGCTATGACAAAATAATCAATAATTTACTTGTTAAACAGAAATTACTATAAATATCGTTCTGATTGTATTGGTAACGTACAATTCTTAAAAACAGTTGGGCAGTAATTTTATAATATAGGTCGTCTTTCCTGTTGTATCATAAACATTTTTCATGTCAATTATTGCTCAATCATAATTATAAAAGTTAATCTGGTGAAGAAAATCACTAACTTAACCCAAAACGACAAAGAAAAAATAAGCATAACGTCACTTTAACAATCATTTAAACGCCGCGTCAACAATAAGTGTGTCAGCGAAATTAAAGCGTTACGGCTGCAGTCGCTCTTATGGCCTTTTTGAGTATTTTGAATTGATCGTTTCTTCCTGATCTGTATACTAAGATAGAATGTTTTTTTTTATAATTTCTGCAGGATGAACACACACGCCCTTTGTATTGTTGTAATTATGTATCGAGAAAAATAAAAATGATCAACAAAATAATGTGCGATGAAGGTCGTAAAAATGTTCAGAATGCCAAAACGCTCAGCTATGTGGCAAATAAGTATCTTTGAGAAAACTATAACAAGGAATTTAAAATGTTTCAGAAAAAAATAAAATATGAGCATTTCTGGAAGGCGCAATATGCCTCAAATATCCATATTTGCTTTAAAGATCCTGTATGTTTTGTAATTGAGATTGCATACAACTCTTCATTGAATTATATATGTATGTAATTATGCAAATTTGTCAATTTTCAAACATGGAAGAATATGTAAAATATGTATTGCAAATATTTGTTCATATTTAAGGTAATCATTAAATTATATGCATTCATTTCTTATTGGAAAAATTGACTTAGAATTTATAGAAAACTAAATTCTAATTACCTCCCTTTATTTACATGAAATATTAAATTCGGTAATATCTTTATAAATAATGTTTTTTGAAACTTACAATATCGATAAATCTTAATTTGAGCATTATAATTTGTATATAAAACCATAAAAATAATGTGTTACAGGATCTTTAAATGCATTAGAAATGTTTTTTTTAATAATGGATAAAGAGCATGTTAGACGTTTAACAACCGAATAAGTAGCGCTGTATTTTGACTTCTATACAAGCAACTTAAATACTTATTCACTATAATTAAACCAATTACCGCGCAGTCTGATAAGGATCCATACTGTTCGCTATCCGTTTCTCCACTTGTAATAGAGTTGGTAAGCGAACAGCATGGGTCGTGATCAGACTGTGCGGATGCGCAGGCTGGTCTGGATCCATGCTGGTCGCAAACCTACTATGTTGGTTTTGTCGTGACGCGGCTCATTTATCTTATGTTTATAGCAAATGAGTATTTTTTTGAAACTGAAACAAGAGACAAAAAATAGACAAATTAAAAGATAGCATTGCTGCGACATAAAGGGCCTTTTAAACTTAACCGGCCTTTATCTGTACGATTCATTAAGATTGCAAGCCGCCAAAATGACGCCATTCGGTATCAAATCCCCTAAATATTCTGTGTCTAAGTTATAAATTGCTAGATAAGAATTTAAACACATTGTTTTTGATATGTGCAGCCGGGTATTATTATATTTATTATACGGAGTAATGCGGAATCAAACGCTAGAGCATGTCAGTATTGACAGCTGGATTATGTAAGGTTATGTTACGTTTATTTGGTATAAAGATGTGTCTTATAAATTTATGTTCCATATTTTAAAAGCCGTAAAATGTGTCGTTACTTTAATCAAATGGTCGATTGTAGAGAGTGGTGTAAAACAGATTGTTCCACATGAATCTGTAAGTAAACATAATAAAATTTGTCGGAATGAAATATTTTATTACCCTAATGTTATTTTCCTACAGGCCACTTGGAGTTTTTTATACTGTTAATACTGTGTAACACGTGAATACGAAATAACATAGGTCACAATACTTTTTATCATTAAAAATATTGGTCACGTGTTTTTTCTTCTAAAATATAAAATGGTCGCCGTTCTTTCTTTCTCGTTTCATCTCCTATTTATCAAGGTTCACCAAGAAGGAGCATCACCAGAGTGATTTTGACACTCAGAAAAGTTTGTTTATGCACCTTAGAGTACTTTTCGCGTTTTAAAAATCTGTTGGTTCAAAAGTAAAAAAGTAAACATCCGTTTTCATCGGAAGTTTTTGCATGGTCAAAATGGAACAATCAGACGACTAAAGCATGCAATAAAGGATCATCAAAATTTTAACGAATCTTATCAGTGTAACATGACAGCCGTGGTAGGCAGATGTAGGATATGATCGTTATTGCATAAAGGAGTCTTAAAAACCATGTGAAGAATATTCTGGATAGAATCAGATTTCCCAGATCATAACCGTGCAAATGGGTTTCTGTTTTGATTTTTAAATGAAACAACTAATTTTATGTGTATGACTGACAAAGTATTATTTCCTTAAAGAACAAAAGAAAAAAAATTCTCAAGCTATTGTCACTCTTGTTTAACGCCTCGGATAACTGTATATTCCTTAGGATGGTCTTTTAATTGTTACTCACAAACCTATTTGTTATTCATAAAGTACTACCCTCCGACACAACATGCCTATAATAAAGAATTTATATCAATATAAGTGGTGTAAATCGGCTATTTAACATCAATTTCCCCTTTTGACGCATAAGAATTTACCACATGGGCCGTAGTGAATAGTAAATATTCACGAAACAAGAATATGGAAATATAACAAGATATCACATATAAAAAGCTTTTGAGAAATAATTTTGAAGCATTTATAGAGCATAGTGGCCTTTAAATGTTATTTTGTGCATATTAATTTGCAACCGGATGCTACCATAAAGATAATTTATCAGCCTTTAGTCATTCACACATTTAAATCACATTTGTTTGAGTAATCAATGAAAGCAAATATTTTACTTTTTACAATAACATTAAGACACATTCAGACTGTATTTGCTGTGTGATTATGATTTTTACAAATATGAAAGATTTTCCTTTGTAGAGAACACCAAGGTGAACGGTGATCCAAAATATGAAGTACCTAATAGTAACGCCCTGCATAATATAGGTTTGGAAGGGAAATGCAAAATGGGATATGGTTATTTATGTATCGTTCATATAAGTGCCATTCTGATTGGTTGATATTAAACACGGTAATTTATGTATCGTTCACATAAAGGCCATTCTGACTGGCTGAATAGCGTTGACGTCGCATGTCTGCAAGAAAAATATTACAGACAACTGAATGATTTAAAGATATAATGTTGACCATTTTGTGCCCTACGTGGACTTAAAGAATGTGATTTTTTAAAGCTGTCTTTTACTTATTTTTTTATGCGTTTCATGGCCATGCCAAATGCCAGATGCACTGCCAACCCTCGACCCCTAATGTAGGTCGGGAGTCAAGTGTATCCCTGACTTCACGATGAGTCTTACATGTATGTGACAGCTCAATCAATCTCAATATCTGTATAATTTTGTATGTCGATGTAAAACAACATATATGTAATTGTTTGAAAATAAAGCATTACTAAAGGGAGTAAAATATCATCTTTATTTGAAGTGTAAAATATGTATGTATGATGTACTGGCGGCACGAAGCTTTCTTATGATGTGACACGAAACTATATTTATTACACTATATTGAAAGAAGACAATGAGAAAAAAACACACTACATGTAAATGACACCTCTCTGACTCTGGATGGTATTACAGTTTATTATTATTTTTTAAGATTGTTAAAACCATTAAATTGTCTTGTGTTTTCATGTGAGGTAAGAGTATATTCAGATAATTATTCAATTAGGAGCTGTAATATTGACAAGAGTTTG